GGAGCTTGTGTTTGTACGTTTTAATAGTATTGATACATAATTATGTAAAAAAAAATCCGGCTTATCTGAGCTAGGGTACAGCCCACATTAATTTAAAGTAATTACCAAATAGGGATCATCCTCTACCAGTGCATCCCCCCGGGGTCTACTACAGTTTTCCTCTCAATGAGTAGCTCTATCCAGAGATCACTGGTTTACCATAGTGCAGACAGCTGCTTTTAATAAGGGTGAATGTGCTTTGTTGATTAATTTGAATTATTTTTTGTAACCCGTGATTGATTCAGTGTACTTACACCATTTCAACCTAAATTTCGGAAAAAGTATCTTTCATTTAGGAAAATGTAAAGTCATTTTCGGAAAAAGTCAAATTAATTTCAGAAAAAGTAAACTTAATTTCGGAAAAAGTAAATTCAAATTCGGAAATAGTAAATTCAAATTCGGAAAAACTTAATTCAAATTCGGAAATTACGGAGAAAGTAATGTTATTTTTTAGAATAATTTGAATTGATAAAAAATAAATTTAGCAGTGACTATACCTCGAGTCGAACCAGTACCCTAACGGGTTCGATTCCAACCAAGACAGGTGTACCTACTTTACTTGGATTCTATTGTACAGGGTGGTCCAAATTGGACACTTTCTTATGGAAACACCCTTTATTTTTAGAGATAGAAAAAAATAAACCCCCCACTCTGAGGCTCAAATTTCATGAAATCTTGATTAGTGCAAACCGCATTTTGATATCTTCAATCGTTTAGCAGCTAGAGGGTGATTCTCGATTTTGAGCAATACTGTAAAGCCTCCATAACTTTTTTGTTTATGAAAATAATTCATTTCCGTAAAATCCTTTTGGAAGCACTTTTTCAAGCAGAATTCAGTGACGTTCTCAGTTTTTTTCTGTCTGGCTTCAATTATGAGATATTGACTATAATCCGATTTTTTCGAATAGGACACCCTATATATTAATAGTTCATTAGAAAGCTATGCTTTCGTTGATTTCAATGATATAAAGTTCGATAGGTTTATCTCTAACAGTTTTCGAGAAAAAAAATTATTTCGGTTTTTGTCATAAGAAACAATGTGTTAGAAAGAGAACTTTCTCAGTTTCCTTACAGAGATAAAGTCCTTTTCCAACACATTGTTTCTTATGACAAAAACCGAAATAATTTTTTTTCTCGAAAACTGTTAGAGGTAAACCTATCGAACTTTATATCATTGAAATCAGCGAAAGCATAGCTTTCTAAGGAACTAATAATATATAGGGTGTCCTATTGAAAAAAATCGGATTATGGTCAAGATCTCATAATCGAAGCCAGACAGAAAAAAACTGAGAATGTCACTGAATTCTGCTTGAAAAAGTGCTTCCAAAAGGTCTTTACGGAAATGAATTATTTTCATAAACAAAAAAGTTATGGAGGCTTTACAATATTGCTCAAAATCGAGAATCGCCCTCTAGCGGCTAAACGGTCGAAGATATCAAAATGCGGTTTGCACCAATCAAGATTTCATGAAATTTGAGCCTCAGAGTGGGGGGTTCATTTTTTAATTTCTCTAAAAATAAAGGGTGTTTCCATAAGAAAGTGTCCAATTTGGACCACCCTGTACAGGGTGTCCGAATTTGGATGGTTTTAATAGGAAACGTCAATTTCTGAGCGAGATACAAAAAAATGAACCCCCCACTCCGAGGCTCAAATTTCTTGAAATTTTGATTGGTGCAAACCGCATTTTAATATTTTCAACCGTTTAGCCGCTAGAGGGCGATTTTCGATTTTGAGCAATACTGTGAAATCTTCATAACTTTTTTGTTTATAATAATAACTGATTTCCGTAAAAACTTCCTAGAAGCACTTTTTCAAGCAGAATTCAGTGACGTTTTCAGTTTTTTTCTATTGGGCCTCCATTTCAAGATATTGACCGAAATACGATTTTTTTCAATGGAACACCCTATATATTAATAGCTCATTAGAAAGCTCTGCTTTTGCTGATTTCAATGATACAAATTTCGATAGGTTTATCTCTAACAGTTTTCGAGAAAATAGTAATTTTCCTAACAAGTGCGCAAAGTGATACTTTCCCGCTCGAAAAAGCAGTTAGACGAACGACGCGAAGCGGAGTTCGGATAAGCTTTGAGTGCGGGAAAGACACTTTGCGCAAGTGTTAGGAACAATATTTTTTCTTCGAGTATCTTAAAAAAGTAGACTTTGAATTAATTGTTAAAATATTAGAAAAATCAATCAAATCAAAATCTTCAAAAATCCTTTAAAATCTATTGGAATTCCTCAGAATGTCTTTTAAATTAAATCCCCAAATATCTTTTTACATCTTCTGGAATTTCTAGAATCAGCAAGAATATTTTCATGAGAGTCTCTAAAATATCAAAAATTTTACAAATTTCTAGCAGTATAGGCTGGTCCAATTTGAACACCTTTGATAGGAAATATCATGTTAACTAAGCATTAATTTCAACTAAAACCCTTCATTTTGAATATTAGTTTATTCAGAAACCATCAAAACATTGAAAAATCAAGTATAACTATGGTAATTATACGTAACAAAAATGAGTGCGCAAAGAGTTTCCGTGCGCAAAGTTCAACTTTGCGCACGCAAATGAGTGTGCAAAGTGATTACTTTGCGCACGCAAGTAGAAAATAATTTTTTCCTACGAGCCTGCGCAAAGTAGTACTTTTCCGCACGCATTATCGTTCTCAAAGTTACACTTTTCCGCACTCAGTGCGGATACGGGCCTTATCCGCACTGAGTGCCGAAAAGTAAAAATAATTGTCAAGCACCTGTCGACTTTGACACATGATGACAAATTTTTCCTCTGTTTCTATAGCTATCAGCCAACATCTATACAAACACTTAATATAATAAACTTTGACACATTGTCAGATTTCTGTTCTCAATTTACGTGCAAGAATCTACAAACTTCTTTCGCATCAAATTTAAACGCTTTAAGATGAACAGCTCTGACGAGGATTTCAATTTCCTGTTTTTTTGTTATGTAATTTTTTGATAAATGAATAGTTTCGCTTCAGGTTAATTGAAAATAATTGAACAAATTATCGTTTTTTTTTTAAATTTTTGTTGTTACCTACCTGATATGAGGCTCGTAGGAAAAATTTTGTTCCTAACACGTGCGCAAAGTTTCTTTTCCGCACGCAAACACTCATCCGAACTCCGCTGCGCGTCGTTCGTATAACTGTGTTTGCGTGCGGAAAAGTAACACTTTGCGCACTTGTTAGGAAAATAACTATTTCCTACGAGCGTGCGCAAAGTAGTACTTTTCCGCACGCATTTCGGTTCTCAAAGTTGCACTTTTCCGCACTCAGTGCGGATACAGGCCTTATCCGCACTGAGTGCCGAAAAGTAAAAATAATTGTCAAGCAACAATAAGTACACCTGTCGACTTTGACACATGATGACAAATTTTTCCTCTGTTCCTGTTCCAGCTAACATCTATACCTACAAACACCAAATTTAATTAACTTCAACACATTGTCAGATTTGTTTTCTATATATATGCATCTACAAACTTTCTCATCAAATTTATAGCATTTTCCATTTGTCGAAACAGGGCAAAAAAATGTATCCTTATCCTTACATGTTACATGCTTTTAGAAAAAGATGCGGATGCACTCAGTGCGGCACTGATGACAAATGGAAATCGCCATTAAACGCTTTAAGATGAAGAGCTCTGACGATGATTTTCTGTTATATTTTTTTTTTGTTATGTAATTTTTTGATAAATGCATAGGTTCCCTTCAAGTTAATTAAAAATAATTAAACAAATTATCGTTTTTTTTTTAAATTTTTGTTGTTACCTACCTGATATGAAGCTCGTAGGAAAAATTTTGTTCCTAACACGTGCGCAAAGTGTCTTTTCCGCACGCAAACACGTATCCGAACTCCGCTTCGCGTCGTTCGTATAACTGTGTTTGCGTGCGGAAAAGTAACACTTTGCGCACTTGTTAGGAAAATAACTATTTTTCTCGAAAACTATTAAAGATAAACCTATCGAACTTTTATCATTGAAATCAGAAAAAGCCGAGCTTTCTAATGAGCTATTAATATATAGAGTGTCCTATTGAAAAAAACCAGACTTTGGTCAATATCTCGGAGTTGGGACCAACTAGAAAAAAACTGAGAACGTCATTGAATTCTGCTTGAAAAAGTGCTTCTAGAAAGTTTTTATGGAAATCAATAATTTTCATAAACAAAAAAGTTATGATGGTTTCACATTATTGCTCAAAATCGAGAATCGCCCTCTAGCGGCCAAACGGTTGAAGATATCAAAATGCGGTTTGCACCAATCAAAATTTCAAGAAATTTGAGCCTCGGAGTGGGGGGTTCATTTTTTTGTATCTTGCTCAGAAATTGATGTTTCCTATTAAAACCATCCAAATTCGGACACCCTGTACATACATTTTGTAGGTCTGATGATGCTCATATGAGCTGAACACGTGACTATCAAGTGAATAAGATAATAAACAATCTGTAGGCTTGTTTTTTTTTTTGCTTAAAAATTGGGTCTCTGAGAAATATGGACAATTTTTTTGATTTTCTACATAGATAAATGACTTAGGGCCGAATTTATAGTCGTTCCTTTAATCTTCCTTGGAGTCGTGAGTTTAGAATTGGCACTTGTTTCTATTTGACAAGTTAGTCATGTCATTTCTAAACGTTCAAGGTTTCCTTAAGGTCTAGGAAACCTCAAGGAGCGACTATAAATTCGGCTCAATGAATTCAAATTATTCTATAAAAAATAACGTAATTGAATGTATTTTTTCCGAATTTGAATTTACTTTTTCCGAATTTGAAAATACTTTTTCCGAAAATGACTTTACATTTTCCTAAATAAAAGTTACTTTTTCCGAAATTGAGGTTGAAATGGTGTAGAATCGGGTTGATTGTAGCCCGTGGCTCGATGTACTACGTTCAGGTTGACAATATTTTAAATTTTAAATGTGAAACTCAAAAATAAAATAACAACTAAAACAAACATAAATTATAATTTTGAATCTATACATTTATAATATAGAAGTACGATTATTGGAGCCCAACTATATAGTCAAAAAAATACAAACTTTACATCACTTTTTCTATGTGAGATCCAATAGGTTGGAAAAAAATCTTTAAAAAATTGGGTAATTATTTTTCAAGTAAATGCAGGCAAACAGCGATTTTTATTTTAAGTTGCACAATTTTTGAACTACTTATCATGTATACAGGGTGTTTCTAAAAAAAGATATCGCGTGACTTTCCTCTTTGTTCACATAATGAATAATAATAATATGATCAGAGTTTCATGTAAAAGCCAAAAATGAAAAAAAGAACTGTGCAAGAATTTACCTGAAAAATAATTACTCAATTTCCTAATGAATTTATTCCAACCTTTTTGAGCCTAATTTATATCACAAAACAGTGCCAAGAAATATTTTCAAGTAAGCAATAAAAATAAGTAAAATATAAAAAATTCAAATTACTGCCTATTAAGTGCCTGTAAGATTCTCAAAATGTACAAAAACAAATTAATAATGTCCATGTACAGATTGATAGTGGCCAAAATGTATTCTTCAGGCGATAGAGTCTCCATAATAAGTTTAGTGTCGTATATGATAAATAGGCAAAATAGGAAAGCGCCTCCAAAGCCGATTAGTAATTCAAAAACAGGCGATTGGATGAATACTTGAAGAAATCCTCCCACTATCAAAATAATTAGTCCAGCAAATAAACTATAAAATAATTCAATTTAGATTTAAATTTTTTAAGGCATGAAATTAACTTACGCTGAATGCATTGTAGAAAAATCATGTTTGGATTGGAAAGTGTAAATGGTCAAACCTCCCAAAACTAAGAGGGTTAATAAAAGTGCTTCCAAAACTATAGCTTTTGAGTAAAATGTTACGATAACTCCAATGGTGTAGGCTTGAACAACAGTCTACAACAAACGCATGTTAATTAATTTCCATAAATAATACAATTCAAAACTTACAAAAGCTGCTAGAAGGATCAAATTTGTAGGTGATTCTTTACGTTTGATGTGTAAAGGTATTAAGAGAATAATGCTGGCAAAGAAACTTATAAGCATCATCCAATCACTAAAATAAAAATTCATTCCATAAACTCAATAAAATATGTTCTGGTTCTTACTTGGTCTGCACAAATCCTTTAATGGGTGGTGTAAACATAAAAAGACCAGCAACCGCCACAGTTAAAAGTATCTGCATGGTAAGCAACCCATAGACTTTTCTCAAAAAAGCTAATCGGATTGATTTAGTGGCTTGAGCAACGTTATTCCTATAGGAGAAATCATTTTCGATGCCATCTTCGTCGTATTGTTTGCCACCTTGCTCTACATCCTCGGAAAGGATCAGGGGGACACTGTAAGACATTCTTTTGGGGCCACGCTGAAAATTGTTGTAAATATAGAGCAGATGGTTGACAAAAGAATTAAAAGATTAGATTAATAAATCAAACAGGAAAAGTACTACTTAAAAATAATATGTATTTTGAAAGGTGCGTAGTGATGTGTGGATTGATAGTTAACAATTTTGCCAACAGCGTAACACACTAGTGGGGCTATCAATTAGTATAGTTATCACCTTTTTTCCGTTTTTAATGAATTTTGCAATCAAATATTAAGTTAAAATAAACCACGTATGTTTCTTTTTTACAAATTATTAGTTTACCTTTCTATTATTTTGATTTTGACTTTTTGATTGATTTGCTGTCAAAGTCAGCTGGTTATGTCTAGAGGAGGGCTTATCGATATGGATCGATAAGAACTTGCAAAAATTGAAAACACTGTTTTTTTTTTAAAGATAATTCCCCAAGTCAAAAATTTAGTAACTATGTTGGCAACACAAGCCTTTTCTACACAAAAAATTTGAAAGCATTGACAATTTTACATTGTATTGCCAACATAATGTCATTTTGACTTTTATCTTAAAAAAAAAAACACACTTTAAACTCTGTTTTTTTTTTATAGATAATAGACCTATCTATTTTTACCTAGCATGCGCGCGCAACACGAGGCAATGCCTTTCTATTGGCTAACTAGTACAGGTGAAAGGTATTCGTTTTACACGCTGGACATCTGCTTGTTCTTGTTCATTGCCCGTGGTCCGACAAGAATAAAAGTACGCAGTGATGTGCCTGTAGACAATGTCAACGTAAACAATTGATTGTCTACGCGTAGACAATTCGAATTGACCTTTTGTTTCGACGCCATATTGCGGTGCGCGAACATAGTTGCCAAAACAAGAAAACCAAAAATTACTAGCGGGCTGTCTACTAGATATTTTATTATTTCTATTCTGCCCAATACAACCTAAAATTCATGGCTTTTCTTTCTAAAAACTTTCGTAATAGGCGGTAAATTTAAATTTTAAATGTAATTTATTCATTAACTTTGGATTTTAAAGTTGACAGAACGCTAATAATTTTTTTTTCTACTGTTGGCAACTATGTTCGCGCACCGCAATATGGCGTCCAAACAAAAGGTCAATTGTTTACGTGATTTGTCTACACATTGTTTACATGCGGCGTAGACAATAACTTACTTCAAAAATTTGAAAAAAAATATCAAAAGCTACTATACTATCACTATCACTTCGATATTAGCATTCACTGATTATAAAATATCAGGAAAACCAATAATAAAATAAAAATAATTTAAAAAAAGGAAAGTGTGAGGTTAGAATTAAAATTAAACGTCATTTATATTATTTTACATTGTCGACACGTTGTCTACTTGTCTACATTGTCTACAGTCTACATTATCTACACGTAAAGTAGACAATGAAAGTCTACGTGTAGACGCACATCCCTGAAAGTACGGTTGATATTACCCAGATAACACAAAACTACATGAAAAGTACTTCAATTGTACTGTATTTTCACATTTGCGTGCCTGAGAAGTACTTGTGAAAATCACTCAGCCGCTTCTGGGATGTCCAGCCGGCCAGTAAAAAAAAGGCGCAATCGTAGAAGCACTGCAATTGCGCACTTCCAACATGGAGTGCTCTAAGTGCTCCAAGCGTACGTTGGAAGTATTCGTGAAATGCTACATAAAAGCACTTCTCCGACAGAGAAAAAGCACCACTAGAACATCTTTTTTTGGTAAATTTATATTGTACTCTTAAAGTACTTCATTGAAGTATTTTTTGAGTACATTTTTTATTTCACTGATAGCCCATTGCAAATAAAAAACAAACATTTTGAAATTATGATCTTTTAATAAATAAATATAGGAAACATAAATAAAAAATAAAATAAAACATATTCATTTCTTCTAAATAATTCTTCTTCGCTTTTCCTGGTACCTACCTGAAAAAAAAATCATACTTAAATTAAAATCTCCTATATGAGACACAGAGGGCACCAAATAAAATGAGTTTAATGGGGTTTTTGGAAACTATTAAAGTACAGGGGGTACGTGGCTCAAATGAGAAAATAAGATGCGCAATTAAAGACTTATTAATTTATACATATCGAAGTCGTTTTGGGGATGGAAAATTTGAAATGACAGATTTCAAATTTGGCAGCTTCGTCGGGTACCTAAAGGGAGAAAGGTTCATCTAATAAAGTGAACTTATTTTGCAATAATATCTTGTCGAATAGGCCCTAAAAAAATTGATACGATTTTGCAGAGTTTCGTTAAATAAACAGTGAAAACACAAACACACCCACCACGCATGCATTACCACCTACAAGCACCACATACAGCGCAGAACGAAATAATTTGGATTAACCCATAACTAATATTTGATAATCATCACTCACTTACCCTTTGGAACTCATTATTCTTCCAGTGAAACCGAAAACACGCACAGAACCCAAACACGTACGAAACTAAATGCCCAAAAATGCAAACATTAAAAATGGCGCAATGGCGGCAGCCGGCAGCTTCGGCTCAGGCTTCCTTGCAAGTTCCTTGCTTCTGCTTGCCTTCTTGTCGCTTTTTTATCCCTTTCCTTCCCACATTTGATATGTGTGGTGGGGGTTGCACCTCTGTGGTGCACCACCTGCACGATCGGAGTATCTCTAAACCTATAATCAATCACTGCCGACTGCAGGCTCTCAGGCAGCGCAGGTAGAGCACTCAGAGCAGACTCTATTCTTTCGGTACCTTGGTAAGTGTTCAGGAAGTGCTGTTAGCGTACCGCTAATTCGCACACTAAAATTATGCGGTTTTGCAGTGGTTCTCCTGCACATTACAGATCATTCAATTTAAAAGTTGAAATAGGAGCATTTCTTCGATGCTGCTAGCTTATTTTGATTTGGTTTGTTTTATTATACGCACTTTTAGCATATTTCCAAAGCATTACCATTGAAATACTATTTTCTCCAAAGTCGGCCGGAACTTTTCGAGCACATTGACGGATTGACGCACATTGTGTTATCTGGGTAGGGACATAAAGCTACTTGAAATAATTCGCCGGTATCGGTATCGGTATCCGTAACGCAACTAGATACGTTGACAAGCGAAAAGGCTGTTAAAGCGCTTCCTGCTTCCTGTTCCGGTAAACGTAAACGCATCTCATAACTTAGTAATTTTCTTGTCAAAACTCCGGCGTTTTTATATAAAATTGTTATTTTTTTTGCGATAGAGAAGCACTAAACACACAAGAAACTCAAGAAAGTATAAACTAAATAAATTAAATCAACCCGGAAGAAAAGTGAGGTTATATACATTTAAAATTTGACACATGCGTCAGGAATGTCAAGATACGTTACCGATACGGATACCGCGGGAGGGCCGTAACGTTACGTTGTACGTACGGTATCTCGGCGTCCGTATCGCTTCTGCACATGCGCAGTACGATACCGATACGGATACCGAGCAAAAAATACGGAAGCTTTTATGTCCCTATTCAACTTGACATAACTTGAAAAGTTACATGCAAAAATTGTTTGACATTTTCATTGACAAATACGTTGCACAACATGCAGCCTTTCTCCTTCCCTTTTTATCCCGTGCAAATAAGAAGAAAGGATTGCTATACGTAAGTCTAACATAATTTGGTACGTTTTGCCTCGTCTTGCGCAATGAGCGTTCTGTGTCTTTTTTCATCTAATGAAGTTTTCGTATTATTGCCTCTCTGTCTGGTAAAATAGATAGGTCTATTCCCCAAGTCAAAAATTTACGTCAATCAAGGCTGGGATCATGTCACTTTTTATACCCGTCTTCGTTATATTTCATTAGGGGCCGGTTTCTCAATAGCAGGTCACTCCCGAATCAAGGATAACTCCAGGGTAAACATAGCAACTGGACACGCTTACTCTGGAGTTAAAACCAACCCGGAGGTGACTCGCTATTGAGAAACCGGCCCTAGAAATAATTTAAGATAATTGAACAATGAAATGAACGAGCACTACGAGAGTTTTTCTCTGGATCTGGACATGCAAGAAGGGGCTTGCACTTTCAAATGCAGGCAGTAAATTGTAAATTATAAGGTGTGTTTGTTATATCCGTGTAGGGTAGGTAAGTGCAGGCTGCTGGTGTAGCTCATGGCCATCAGGGTAAAGGAAAACTACCAAACGCGTTAATGCAGACAGTGCAGTTCGTGAAGCGATAGAAGCGGATATCTAACCTCAAAAAAATTATTATTAGGGTAAATTAAAGTGGAAAATGGAAACTAACCCAGAAAAAAATGTCCAATCGAAAAAGATAACATATTTACAAGGTTTTATTGTCGGAAATTATAGAGGAAGTCGGAAGATGAAGAAGATTCCTCAGATTCCCTATCTTCCAGCTCTGACGACAAAATAAATTCATGCAATTGCACTTTTGTATTTGTACTTTCACTACTCATTTTTTAGAGCATATCAATATATTTCATCTAACATTTAAGATTTAATTTCTAATGGTGATTTCGACTGGATTGCACTTTCGCACCCAGGGGCGAGTTCAGGAATGACACACTCGGTGTGAGTGTGATATCGGTGCGACGCACTAGCCGTTCATAAATGCTATAGGCACACCGAGTGCGCGCACTCTGTACTTCGGGCGCGCTCCAGGTGTCGCACCGGTCACACCATAATTTTTTGGTGCGACTGCGGTGTGGTTGTGTCTTTATGTCAACATTGTCAACAATGTCAACCATTCCTCCCATAATCTCATTAATCCCACCAAATATAAACAAAACACAAATAGGAATTAAAGTTTTTTCTTCAAATTAAAAAAATGAACAACAAAAAAAAGTAATCTCAATACATTTGGTGAAGTTTTTGAGGAGAAGCTCGATTGGTCACACCAAGCGTTCAGAAATTCATACGAAAGTTGTCGCCTAAGAATTGTCATTTCAGTCACACCCATAAAATCGCACTCACACCCGGTGTGTTATTTCTGAACTCGCCCCAGTGCGAACTTTTTTTGGCAATTGACGTGTAAAGTATTGTTTATCTGTCAATTTTTAAAAAAAGTTCGCACTGGGTGCGAAAGCGCAATCCAGTCGAAATCGCCATATAATAAATCTTAAGGCGTATTTTAGCGATAGGTAAACATCATACTACACATACTACGATTCATGACGTCATAGTTACCCAAATAACAGGTGGAGTGTATTTGACAAAGGGTCTAAGAGAGGACGCCACGATCGTTGTTTATTTGGATTTGTTGAATTTTGTAAAATTTAGCGTTTTCGAGTTTCAATATTATTTCTCCAGTGAAGATTTTCGAATATATTTGATAGATTGTGGTATTTTTGAATTTTATGGGTACCCTATGCCAAAAAAAAAAAAATTACACTTTTGTGCACAAGTGAAGATTTTTTATTTTTTTTGCAAAAAACCTCTAAAATAAAATCACAGAAAACCATGGCAAAATGAGGAAAAACAATCCTCTATTTATAATGGAAAGAACTGTGTCGGTAATCGTAGCGTAATCAGCTGATGTTTTGCCCATATGCTCATTTTCGTGTATTAGAAAAAGATGCACTGACATACTACGACCAGTAACTATCCCTCCTAGGATGTTTACATGTTTACAGACGAGTTTTATGTTGTGTTTTATGTTGTGACGTCATAGTATGTTAGCCATGCTCGCTAAAATGTAGTATCCCAAGTAAATACAACATACTACTGGGTTAAAACTCTCGCTAAAATACGCCTTTATTTTAAGTTTTCAGGTTAGGAGCAACAAACAAAACAAAACAACAACATTGCCCCCCCCATTCTGCACTTGTTACACCTCCTCTTGAGCGGGTGTAGGTAGTGCATGATTGGGCACCCTACACTGAGATAACAAACGCCTTACACTATTTGCACTAACCGCATAACAAACGCCTCAGTGCAGAAAAGTGTAAATTATTGTGCACTAGTGGGGGATAACAAACAGACCTATATAAAAATATCGTATCGAAATAATCGAAATATCGATATGAAAAAAGAAGTAGAGGGTTTGACGTCATAATACCGTATCGATAGTTATAGATATCGATAAGCTTTCCCCGGTTCTACATATTTCCGTCTTTTCGGAAGCTTGACTACGTCGCCCGGTTGTTGTTTGTTTACCTCTTAAATAGAGCATAACCTTAAATACAATTTATTTTCTTGAATTTTTCTTTGATTTTTAAAAGCAGAAATAAAATGATATTCCGTTCGTTTTTTCACCAAACACGGTCTTTTTCCCAGCAAGCTTTAAAATTGAAAAAAAACCATCGAATGTCTGCATGGCAAATACATTCTTATGGAGATATCGAAGAGCTTCAATTAGGAGAAAGTCGTATTCCTGTTATAAACAGTCCCGAGGATGTTTTGGTGGAAGTTAAAGCAGGATCTTTGAATCCTATCGATTCTTTTATGTTGGGTAAGCTGTTATTTGTCTTCTTGTTCTTGTCATAGATATTTTTATTTCTATTGCTGCAAGTATGTACTTAGTTCAGTTTTATACAGGGTCTTATTCCCTCTAGAATAGCAGGCTACAGATCTCGAAACATATATTCTCTAGCGTTTCAAAAGTTCTATGTGTACTTTGTCTGGAGCTTTTACACCCGCCAAAAAAATGTTCTTTGATATTGATAGGCATAACCATTCTTGAGATATGAAGTCTAATACTGCATTTACATTTATGTACTTTGAAGTCCAATTTGTCTTGAAATTGACTTGCATATCCCATTTACATTGGAATAAGTTTGAAGTTCACTTCGAAGTGCACTTTAAATTTGGGCAAGCTGTTTGCCGAAGGCAAGCAGAAACTTGTGAAATGTGAAATTTTTAGATTCTCCTAAAAGTCTAATTTTTTTTCTCAATTTTCCAATATCGAATAAACTGAATTTTGCCATTGGCTGGGGAACTTTTCGGAAGGCAGGTCACTGCACGTTGTAGTCGATTGTGTCTTCTGATACACCATACCAATAAAGTTCTTAAAAGGAATTTTTATATGCAATATACAATGTAATAAACAACTTCATTAGAAACCAACCCTACAACTTGGAACAGAACAGGGTTCGAAAATTTCCTCGAAAATTTCGAAAACGTTCTGAATATGGCAGTAGATAAATACATTCCGTTGAAGTCCATAAAAGCAAATCAGCAGAAGCCATGGATTAACCAGTCGCACTTCAAAGGAATCAACAAAAAGCTTAAACCATATGGAACAAATATAAACTTGAAAAAGCGCAAGAAAGCTATTAATCATATATGATGCAGAATAATGCGCTTAAGCAAAAGCTAGATGAGGCAAGAAGAACAACACTAATTCAAATTTAAATAAATACCCAAGTCAAAATTTGAACTCAAAGGTATCAATGATCACTATAAAAGATCCAGTAACACATGAGATCCTAGATATCAAGTCAATGGCTGAACGTTTTGCTCAACAGTTCAACATAGTTTTTATCCATCAAGATTTCCGCCTACCACCACTTGTACAGTGTACCAGAGTTGAAGCTCAATAAATAGTATAGATATCACAGAAGAAAAGGTTGCAGAAGGATTAATGAAGATGAGGAAAGATTCAAGTTCTGAACCAGATGAAACTCCAGTACTACTCCAAAATTGTAGAAAAACATTTGGTGGTCAACTCACAGTGGTGAAGAGGAGTGCATAGAACTTGGAAGAACGAAAAAATGGAAACTTTCCATAGTAACACCTTTATACAAGAAATGCAACAGACACAAACCAGAAAACTATCGACCCATAAGTCTCACATGCAACCCATTAAAATGCATGGAAAAAATTATTGTGCAGGAGCTTACAGCATTTTTCTTTGAAAATAACCTAATACTTACCCCTATCACAACATGGATTCCTTGCAAAACGATCCACTACAACGAACCTGCTTGAATGCCTAGATGATTGGACAAAAGAGGATGATACTGGTCAGCCAACAGATATAATTTACCTCCATTATGAAAAAGCTTTTGATGAAATTCCTCATAATCTTTTGCTAGGAAAGTTGGGACATTTTGGAGTACATAGACAGCTGCTAGAATTGATAACCGATTTGTTACATGAAGGGTATTATCAGGTAGGAGTCAATGTTACGTTGTCGGATAAAAAGAGGACCTTATTCAGGGGTCTGTAGTAGGACCACTGCTTTTCACATCATACCTTTTTAATCTTGTCGATTTTACAGAAACATCAATAAAGAACAAACAAGGAATTTTACTAAAGAAAAAGAAATCGCCAATAAAAAAAAAATAAAAATCGCGGATCATTGCCAACGATTAATTATTAAATAATTACAACAAGTACCTAGTTCTGCACGATTGGGAGATGTGTAATAGCATTGTTACTTTGTGATGGTTCACATCCACACCAAGAATGAGCCAGGCTTTTTGACTTAATTTTCTAATGGTTGAAAAAGGCGCAATACAGCACCGAAACGTCCCAAAGAATAATTAGTCTTTTTTTTTTGCCTATCCCATAACCCACGAAACAGCAAACAATATATAATGGAGGGATACGAAAACCAAACAACATCAATAAAGAACTTTGCAGATGATGGGAAACCTAATGCAAATCCAACATTACATACAGCACAGCTTCAAAAAGACTTGCAAACTGTTGAGGAGTGAGGAGTGGTCAAGGGCATGGGGGATGAAATTGAATAAAGCCAAGTCCACTATTTTTGGGATATGCCAAAACAATCCATATATTGAGTACATGCTAAATAACCAAGTTCTTTCAACAGTAGGTACCAGATAAAAATGATCTCGGACCTATGGTAACATCATCTTGAATGGGAAAGTCACATCATCAAAATGGGCTCTTTCACTAAAATTTAAATACGTAATTTAAGTATAAAATCCCAAAGGAGGGACTATTTTAGGCATATATACCAAAAAAAAAAGTTCTACAAGGTTAAATAAGTTTTTTACAGGCATTTGAAATTAGCGAAATTCAAATTGATTTAAAACGCGCCGATTTGCTGACGTCACATAAATATTTTTCATTTTGCTTGTTGTTGCAAGGAGCTGACCGCCTCGACTGTGTTACTCTGTAGTAAAAGCAGGTAAAGCTTCGAATGCGCTGTTGTCGGTGGTGACTAAATGTAGTGCAACGTAAAAAAAAATAAATAAAACTGAACTTAAAAAATTGTATTAAATTGTGTTTAATCCATAACTAATTAATTTAACTACTTTTCATGATATTTTTCCAACATTTCAGAATTAAATCTATTACAAATTTTCAATGTTGACAATTAGTGGCAACACGGTAAAATTGCGAGCTGCGACGTCATAGAAATAAATTCTGGGTTTTTATTTGGAGGTATTTCTTTTTTTTCTGTTTTCTCAAGAAGGACTATGAATTTTTCAAAAGTAAAAATACAGAAAATTCTGTTTTTAGTTGCTTTATCCAAATATGCCAATTTCAAAAATTAGTGAAAGAGCCCATTGTCAAGAAAGCAAACTCATTAATCTATCTCATCAAACATGCTTTAAGGACCACTCGATAGAGATGGTTAAAAAACTTTACGAAAGCTACATCAGACCTGAATTGGAGTATGCTCTTGCAGTGTGGAACCCCTACTGTATCAAAGATATAGAGATGTTGGGGAAAGTCCAAAGAAGGGTTACTGAAATTCCATTAGAGCTACAAGCTTTGGACTATCTCGAGAGATTGAAAATATTAGGTAACAACTTCAAGAGAAAGAAGGTACAGGTTTGGGTACAGGGGCAGTTTGATCGAAACTTACAAAATAACAAGTGGCTATTACAACTGCAACATATTCACAATGTTTCGCCACAACCAAAATCAACACCTCTGTGAGCACTCAAAACAAAAAAAGAAAAAACCTGCAAAGTTACCTGAATTTGAATAATTGTGCAGTGTAGGTACTCTTGGATGAAAAGACAGTTTCCGCCGCGTGTGTGGACGCGTTTTAAATTCGGTTGGATATAGCACTAAGTAATAATGAAACAAGAATGATACACTGACTATAGTGCCTAAATGTGAACTTCTAAATAGAAAAAACAATAGATTCATCGGTTTTCATCGCCTGGTATTGGTCAATTACATGATTATATTGCCTGTAAATGCTGGCGTTCCCCAGGACTCAATTCCGTCACCAACACTGTTTCTAAGATAGTTCATTTGCAAAAGTACAAAAAGGTATATAATACTACTGAGTATTTTTTCATTAACCAACATATACTTGACAAATAGCAGCTTTAAACATTAGAAATGTAAATAGTACATATAAACAATATTTAGAAGCAGGAAAAGAAATGACCTAATGACCTATACAAAACTGCACATAGAAAACATAGGTTACAGACTCGGTTACAGATTAAGATTATGGTTGACATCACATAATAAATTGTGAGTGCAAGATAGTTAAAGGACCAAGACCTGCAGCCTATGCACTGGCACTTCCAAGACATTGTTGTTTCTTGTGTCTATTCTGTGAATATCTCCAAGGCGCACAAGCAACTCCCTTATTATTATTAAGTTTTAATAAAAAGTTCAAAAAGGGTCCATAATAGTTATTTATGTATCAAGGGTACTAAGTAGATGATTATGCCCTGAGGGCGACAGTCTTACAAAGCCGAGGGCCTCTGGCCCGAGGGTTCGTAAGTCGCCCGAGGATATATATCTATTAGTACCCGTGGTGCATACAAACTTTTATGTCATACCAGGGGGACTTTATTTGAAATCGATTCAGTTAAGGCACTTTAATGCAAAGTAACATTTCTGCGATAGACTGCTCACCTGGCCACTGAACGTCAAACCTTGATCCATAAGAATCCCGAGGTTTTCCACCTCATTCTCCCAGGGTATTTCCACTCCCATAACTCTGATTTCGACTGTAGGATCTGTATGTGGGCCTACACCAAATAAAATTACTTTTATCTCCAATGGATTAACTCTTAGGGAGTTTTTCCCAAGCAGTAAAGCGCTGCATTTTCTATGTCCTCCAGATAAAGCAAGAGAGTACCGAGTGTTATCTGCAAAAAAGTGGTTTTCACAACTAGGTGCCTCATTTGCCGCATCCGCTGAGTATAGTGAGTATAGCAGTATAACAATGATCTTGAAACCATTACCACAACCTAGTCAAATTCAATGCTTCTGTAACTCAAGCAACAGTATTCTCAAATAAGAGATATTCCGCCCATGATAACCCAGTTTAAGAGATGTTGCGACAAAACCTTTCTATCAATCCCTAGCTATATCTTCCTGTATCTTCGATCACCAGAATTGCTTCTCAGAAATTAGGTTTTTTGTTTGGTGCAAAAAACTTCTTCACTTCTGAAGAACCACAAGAACCTCACATGGTCCCATCCGTATGTGGTAAAGTTGGCTACCCCAAGAACCTCTAAATATATGGATTTTTTTATGGCGTACTGTCCACCTCTGAAACTTTCTGCCTCCTACTTCATTTCCTGAACGATTTAACCTTCACATGTTCAAACGGAGTTTATCTTCTCCTAATTTCTTCCGCTGATGATACTGCTTTGGTACTATGCACTTTGTCTTTTGTGAGCGGACCAATGTATGAAAATAATCTTACAATTTTTGAGATATGATGCCGAGAAGTTCCATTTCTCATATTGTTCAATTGTAAAATTTTCAGGTGGTTATGGTCGTGCCTCTTTTCAAGTACTCAGAAACTATCAAATTGAATTTCCTTTAACATTAGGAAGAGATTTTTCAGGTAATAGTTACCACTCATCTTAGAAATTACAGTATTAATTGTTCTCTTCCTTTAAAGGCATTGTTATAGCTAAGGGACATGGGGTAGATAATGATGAAGTTAAGATTGGTGACGAAGTCTATGGTTTTGTGCCAATTCATAAACAAGGAGCCCTTGCTGAAGCTGTTTTAGCTTCAAAATGTCATGTAAGACTCATCAAAAATGTATCTTATACAAAAATTCAAGAAGAAACTTTTGTAGATTTTACCAAAACCAAAAAATCTAACTCACGAACAGAGCGCCTCTCTAGTTTATGCAACAATGACTGCCTGGAGTGGTCTATATTTAGCTGGCAATATGATTTTAAAACAAACTAAAGGTTTAAGGGTTTTGGTACTTGGAGGGTCTGGTGGTGTTGGTACTTCCGCTATACAATTATTGAAATCACAAGGATGTGTTGTAAGTAATTTTTAAAAGGATTAATAATTTTTTTGAAGCATGAAATTCATTAGGTTTATGCAACTTGCTCAAATGATGCTATAGAGTTAGTAAAGTCCCTTGGAGCTGATATGGTTTATGACCGAAACGATCCCGATTTTGAAAAAAATGTCCAACTAGAAGGAAAATATCACATTATTCTTGATGCAGCTAATATGGGCATACAAAATATTCCTAGCAAATGGCAATATGAGTCTTATGTAACTTTAAATTCGCCTCTATTAGTTAACAATGACAAATACGGCTTATGTACAGGCCTGTTAACTAGTGCAAGAAATCTTATAGAATCGAATGCGACAAGAATTTGCGAAGGTAAAACTGTTAGATGGGGCTATTTTGTACCTTCCAATACTGCTTTCAAGTTTATTAATGAATTGATTTGTGAAGAAAAGGTAAAATAATTTTCCTTTTTATGCAAGATATTTATTGAATAAATAATTTTACAGATAAAACCAGTAATTCAACAAAGTTTTAACTTTAAGGAATTGCCGCTTGCCATGGAAACACTAAGAAAGGGTCATGCAAGAGGAAAAATTGTTATAACTCATTAGGTTTTGTGATGCAATAATGTATTAATTTATTTTTAATTTTAAAAACTATTGTTTTTAATTTGTTTTCTTAAAATTATTTATCCACTGGCGCTATACGATTAATTCGCAGTAGTTAATGTCTCTTAACTCAATATTTATATGCGTTTAGGTATTGTGAAACTTAATCCCATTTTCTACCCAAGCCCATGTTTTACATGAACTTTCACTACGTAATTTGTACTCGTGAAAATCTTTAAAACGTTAGACACGTCCTCGTTAAATCTAGTGATTTTTTTTTGGATGCAATCAATGAGATTTGACACACCTTTTAATTGCTTTATTTTATGATTCAACAAAATCTTTTGTGATAAAACAATAGTTCTAGTAATTTGCTTAAGTAAGGTGATTAGGCAGAAGGGTTGACCAAGCACACATTCATCCAAAACAGTTTTTTTCTCACTCAGGATTAAAATATTTCGAGTTCAAAGTTGAGATTTCACAATAATAAAAAATAGTCTTTGGTCAAAATTTGTTTCATTTTGCCACCACAGAACCTCTTGACATCTTGACACATGAATTGAATTTGTCATGGTTCACACATGTAGGTAGTTTTGTCAAAATTCGCCATTTGGCCCAAATGTACCTCTATATCAAAATTTCATGTTTATGAACGTATTATTATCCAGAATATGTCCAAAAATCCGGCCCATCTCATTTTACTTTCGATGCAGCATCACCAAGACAAGAGCTCTAAGTAAGCTCCCTTCTCGCAATCCAATTTATATTATCAGTAAACCGGTGCTAGTTTTCATACCATGCGCTTCACTTCTCCACAATGGACCTGCCAACCAGGTAGCTTGGGAAGATGTCGAAGAAAATATTTACCATTTGATGAGTTTAGCTCGATTGGCTTTGGAAAAAGGGGACACTGAAAAAGCTACAGCTATTTTGGAAATGGGAATTAAAATTTGTGAAGAATATGAAGCTTATGTAGCCTTACCATATATTTATGATATTTTAGCTTCAATATCGTTTGCTTTGGGTAATATGGACAAAGCAGAACACCTTTTAGTAAGCGCCATAGAAAAACTAATCCAGACAGGTTCTCCTGCAGATGGAAGTCAAGTGCTGGATTTTCAGTTGCGTCTAGCCCGAATTTATAGCGCCTATGAAAAAAATCATTTGGCTGAAATAGGGTTCTGGGATTGTTTGAACAAGCAAAAAGCAAAAATATTAGACGGAGACACTTCAACAAAAACAGGTATGCTTTATGTGAATGTACTTTTTTGGTACGGTTTACATAAAATCCGTGTGAACCAGCACAAAATTGCCAAAGAATACATCACCTCAGCTTACGATTATTCTCTAAAAATTAAAGGATTAAGCCCCTATCAAGAAATGGTCATCCTTTACACCTTAGCAGACTTACATATGCAACTCGGAGAAAACAATTTAGCACTACAAAACATAAATAACGCAATATTGCTGGGCAAAGGCATCGGAAGCACCGACTTGCCTAGATGTTATCTGAAATTAGCCACAATTTATGTGAATTTAGGAACCTGGTCAATTGCTAAGGAATCTTGTTTGGAGGCTATTAAAATGGCGAAACTTTTTAATGACGATGTTTTGGCTGGAGAAGCCGAATTTACTTTGGTGTTGATTGAAAAGAAGATTCAGCAGTCGATAGAATAAATAATGATGGATGTTATTATTTTTGAAATAAAATAACGTGTTATAAAGTTTTGGATTTTATTAAATTAACTTGGATAACAAATGTTAACTCTCATCAGATTTGACTTTTCTGACTCAAGGATTCTCTAGGTGGATATTTTTAAATTACCAATAATGTATATTTGTTTTTCAAGCTGTAGCTTTATTCATGAAGAAAAATTGATAATTATTAACTCGAGTACCTACCATACGCAATAATTAAATTCCGCATCAAATGCTACTCTGTATAATTCTTCAATAAGCGTATTTCAAGGCTTCAACCTTGATGCAAGTATGCATATCAGGGCCATAAATTTGTTGCTCTATTTATGCCGTTGTTCAACAACCACACGCACAGGAAAAGACTGATGGCTTTTAGAATGTGCAATTTGGCATTATTTATTCAGCTGATAGGTGCACGTATGCAATAAAAATATAAAAATAAAGAGGATTTTTGTGTTAAAACTTGCGAAAGCTGAAACTTTATTGTAACTGTGTGGTTGTGTGTGCAATATTAATTGCATGTTCACGAAAATTGTTTGGGAGATAGTAGGTCTATTTGGGTTTTTAGAATAATTGTTTATGGTGAAATTGTATGAATTTCGCGAATAAGGAAAGGAAAGCAGTGTATTTCAAAATTATTATAAGTAGAAAAAATGCTGGTCAAAAGGGGTATCAACCAGAAGAAATAATGATCAGGTTTGGGTTTGGGCTGGTAGCTCGTTTCCTATCCCGTCTAATTTGTATCATATAATAAATGAGTTTAGAGTGTTATTAGTGGTTAATCGGCTTGACGATAGACGATACTATCGAATCGTGAAATCGAAATCCGGGTCCAATGTCGTGATCGTTCATAGAGTTACACTATACAGTGTCTGTTTCATCACAAATTCGGAATAGACGTTAAACAACACCAAACCCACATCCCTAACGAACTCCTTTTACTGTTGCAGTCTGGTCAGGTCATACATGTTACCGTCAATTCTTACTCGAGCTGTGTTGGACTCTTAGTATTGTTGTAGAGTGAAGAATTTCACATAGTTTAGGCTACTTGACGTTATAAAATGCCGTAGAGTAGCCCACGAAGGAGATATAGACTATAGTAATGCACTCTGAGAGCCTCTTCCCTTCACGAAACCTGCCTGCTCTGGAGATACTTGCCAGTCCGCAAGACCTTCCAAACGAGACTGTAGAATATACAGCATAACCTTGCATGAATGAGAGTAGACGATAATTGTCTGGGTTTACCGGAAATCCCTTTTTGTGAAGTGGAACAAAGATTGAAGGGGCTTGAATGTTAACATCGGTATAAAGGTCACAGAGGCATTTCATCTTTAGGAACATCTCTCCTCTCCTGGATTGCATGCATCAGTGTGAGCCCGTATCTCCCTGCATAATGCCTGAAGAGTGGAGTTCTTATCTTGGCGGCACAGTCTTTGGATATTATGACGTGTTAATTGTCTACACTCATCTTGCTTTCCATCAGAATTCAAACCTGAGATCTTGAGCTCTCTAGGTGCCTCAATGTCGGACCATGTATGGGTGGTAATCCTGTGTTTTGGTTAAGTTGTTTGGACAACTTGTGTAAGAACATTTTCAAATGTTAACCACATAAAATAAGGAGATCCGTCCGTTATCGAGGCAATCCGCAAAAGCTGAGAAAATTTTGACCAAAAACAGGCAGGGTCAACTATCTTTGTTGAAAGATTCCGCTAAGGACGTGGACATATATTTAGCTTAAGCTGAGTTCACAAAGAAGGAGTTGATGGTCTGAGCCACAATCGGAACCTGGTGGTTATACATAGGCGAGTTTTGTCGTTAACCGGGTTACGCAAAGTGATTATAACACGGTAACGAAGTAGTTAGAATATGGTCAGGTCAGGAATATTCAACCAGTAACCAGATGCCGAAACGCCTTTCGTATATCGTACCAAAATATCACAACGCCGCTGTTTCTTATTTGCATTGAGCTTATTTGAAATATATTTTTTTTTTTTAAATTTTTAAAATAAATCATTTCTTCGGAACTCGACTATTTACAAAATTTATTTGATTATAGGAATTGCAAAAATGAAATCTCGTGATTCCCATGTGAGGCCAAAACTGTATTCGGAAGATGTTATCCCAGAAATGTCAGAGATATACTTTCACAATTTGTGTACCTAAGTACATTTCGAATTTCACTACAGGAACTGAAAACCAAACTAAAAACCATTTGTCCATTCAAGAATATGTAGAAAGATAGGTTAGGATAGAAAACCAAATTCATAAACCAAAGAAAAAGCTGGGTCACGGTTTTCGTAACCTGGTTAAAAGATGCGACGTTGTTATTTTCGTAACCGAAAATAGAAATTCACGACAAAACGTGGTTGGCTGTGGGTACCAGTTCGTCTGATAAATACCAAAACTCACCTAATGACTAATAGATGACCTCCGTCGTGTTCCAACCAAGATGTAATCGATTTTATTGCGTTATTATCCGTCTGATGAGACCTAACTATACAGCGACGTCGTGGATATTCTGCAAACAAAGCGTTAGTGATAGAGAAGCTATGGTCAATACAGAATTGGAGCAGACGTTGGCCCCTTTCGTTCTTGGCACCAAGACCGAATTTACCATTAGTCTTAAGATGTTCATCTGCTACGGTTTAACCAACGTCAGCGTTAAAATCTCCAAGGACAACGTTATAAAATGATTCCACAGCGTCGTCATCCGAGTCGGAAGTAGGTGCGTAGACCTGCACAATATTGATCGGTGTATGATGACACATTTGTAGCCGAGAATAGTCTTAAAGTGGTCCTCTCGCCACCCAAAAGTCAACATCATTGTTGCTTTCATTGGAATTGCCCGAAAACTAAAAAGCAAACCAAATTGTCACTACTGGAAGTAGAGTGTCCTGCTCTCGATTTCGTCAATTTCACACTGAACTCCCCCCCAGTCGGAAATTTATATAGTAGGTCTATAAGATTATGTCGTATCTAGGATAATAAGGCATCTCCCTTCGGTTAATTAAAATTAAACTCAAGAGACTCAATTGGAAAACCCGAATTAAGTCGTTCTGCAGACAGGGGCTGCGAACATTTTAAGAATAAGTGGGCAAGTAAATAACCGTCCAAACGTAGGGATAGTATTAGATACTGGGTCAAGTCGATGCATTATAGAGAAATCTTTGTGTAACAAAATCACCCCGACAAAAGAGGCGATTTTTTTGATGACTGCAGGTGGTAACAAAGTGACCCCTTTGGGAATCTCGGAGGCTAAAATTACAATAGGAAAGATATCCGGATACATAGAGGCATTAGTGGTAGAAAAACTTCTAAAACCCCTTATTTTATGTTGCATGGTGCATGATCGCTAATTACAATAATTACCAGTGAACTGTCGTTGACATTGACCTTCCATGGGTTTAAGTTCCTTGTACGTACGAATTAATAATTCAATAATTCGTTCAACTTGCAATGGAGTGTTATTTAACCGAACGGAGATGCCCTATTATCCTAGATACGATATATGAGTTATTAGTTTAGGGATCATTTGGTGAGAAAATTCAAAAATTAAGCAGCCAATGCAATGCCAAATAATGGTTGGTTCTAATTAGAAACGCTCAACCATGGAGAAAAAATAAGTGTGGTAGTGTTCCAATGTCAGAATCTCCTTGGGAGACACAATAATTTTCTCCCTGCTTTTCCCATTTTCTTTTGGACTATACTACTTGGGTGTGCGAAGCGTCTGTGTCTAATATAAATAGTCCTTCATCCATATTATTGTAAAATAGCACAGATAGCCTTTCTAACTTCATATCCTTTAAGTGAGGAAGGAATTTCAAGTCCGAACTATGGAAACAACTTTACTGATAAGGCCATTGAAGGAAATAAGAGGTTTGCGGATGTTCAAGTGACTAGCGAGACTAGAAAAAAACTGGTGCCCGTTTTTCTTTTGGCCTATAGAATCTGTCAGCATGGATCAATGCTGTTGAAGAGAAATGAACCTTCCCATAGATCTGATGGTTGGCAGACCACGAAGCTGTACTTGTGGCCGATTGCATTGAATACCTTCAATAAAAATAGGGGCCTTCTGGTTGTATCAGCCGTATAGCGAAGGAAGAGACTATAAGCCCGAAATTACAAATACCGTGGAAAGGGAGATATGAGATCATCAAGATACGGTTCTTGTACAAGATTCAACTTCCGCCGAAATCCAAACCAAAGTTTGTTTTCGTAGCAAGACAGGCCCTTACAAAGGAAAGAATTTGGATATGTAAGACCAGGAGAAGCTGTTTGGGACGAACAGAAGGGGACGTAAAATAGAAGAGATCTCAAGGATGGTGACATAATTTAGCCTGGCATCGATTGGCGTTAACTGGAGATGTCTTGTATGGAATTCTCGAGAAAAACAGAGAATGCTTCGCGATTCGCGAGGCAAACAGAGGAGAGTTTCAGATTGGGCGCTCAAGCTATTGGATATAGTGATAGTTTTGCGAACAGCTAAAGTAGAACCTGTCAGTATACCTACCTACTTGTTATTTCTAAAGTTAAAAACCAGTGGGATCTTGATAGAGGATGTCGATAAGATGGATTGGGTAATAATATATCTCTCCTTCTTTGTGACGCTATTCTGCCTATTATAATAAACAGAGAAGCTCGTCAATAAGTTAAGAGTTGAGTGGATCTGGATTATTCCAAGACTTAACTCTTCTTCACAATTTGGATTACGCTGGGCACATTTATCCATAGACCAGTTTAACTCAAGCCTCAGGCGTCGTTCCCACCAAGCTCCTGTTGGAGACAAAGCTGTTTTGTTAAATGCAATACCTCGGTAATATGCTCATTACGCCTGTTGATAGGGATGGTATAGGGTTTCTTGATGAGAAATTTGGCAGTACATATCTAATGTCTGTTCAGGCTTGCTCCTGCATGTCCTAACAGCTATTTCCACAGCTTTCGGTAGGCTAGACACGAATAGTAATAAGCTTGAGCAGGTTGGTGTCGTTTATAGCTTTTGTACTGATGGAGCAGGACCTGTTTGAG